AATAACTTGCTTTTCTGTACTCCAGATTTTTTGAAGAATTTTATCGAGATTTATTCGGACATTTATCATGTCTTTGTATTTTTTCCGCCCTTGAATTTCGCGGAATCGTTCGTAATATCTGTTTTTTTTTCTTCAATGTACCATATAACCTTTTCTAGCATTCCAGGGTAACTATGCGGTTGTTAACAGCTATTCCCTATCGTCTTGTAAGCGCTGTCCAATGCGGTGCAGCTCAGCGGACTGGGCTTCGAATGCTGGCTACGGCAACTCAGGCAAGATCGAGCGGGTAAGTTCTTTACCCAATAAACACTTCTCTGGACTATTTTTTTCTTGATTTAGGCCGGTTGACGAACGCGAGAGTAAAGAAATCTACACTACCATAGGAATCGACCCTAATGAGCCGAAATTCGACAAGATTCTCATTGCCAACCGAGGTAAGAGCTGTGGGGTTTGGTTCCCACTGCAAAATGATAGCTGCCTTTGTTTAATCGCATTTCGCCATAGACAGGCACACTTTTGTGTATACTGCTTACGTGATCACAGCTGCAGAATTGTTCCGCATCACATCGTGGGGATTATTTGTATTGATTATGAATTTCATAACATTGCCGTGCGTATCATACATTGAAACAGTGGTGGTGAGCTTGGAAGGGACTGAAAAAGGTGGGGGAGGATCCAAGTAGGCCTGATGGATTTCTTACCCTTTCTCGCATCAAATTTGTTCTGATCACAAAATGGAGATGGATACGTGTTGTCTCAGTGAACAAGTCACAAATAACGATTTAGTAAATGGTGACTGTCGGAATCAATCAGCGTAACCTGATTGATTATAGTCTGTCAGTCGACTGCAGGCATTGTTGATCACTTACCGTGTCATACTTGACTCTGTCTGCTCAAGAAGAAGACGAGGGGATTTGCACTGGTTTGATTTTCGAGCACTGAATTATTCCAAGGGGTCTTAAAGAGTGACTCCACACAATTTCCAAGACTGCGATAGTTTGATCCAAACAGACTGTTCGGCATTGACTTTATCGAGAAAGGGATTCAGGCTGTTTGTAAGCTTGAATGAGTGTGCAACTGTTTAGTCTGTTTTAAGGATTCGAATATTTCGAATCAGTTTCTGCTGCGCTATGCTAAAGTAACAGTAAACACTTTTCTAAGGAATTAATCTCTTACACTTTTGCAAAATAATTCTTTTGTAATTTCTTTGGAGGGAGTCACGACTTCTTACAAACTTGACATTAATCGAGCCTACATATGACTATCGAGAAAAAACTTCGATCTTATTTCGAGCTGACTAATATCCATCATTATGAAAAATCGTTGACGACTCATATTTCTTGCATTGAGCGCGACAAAACCTTTCTATCAAAGAAGAGGCGTGGTGATAGCCATGCATTTCGAAAAAAGTTATTGGAATGCTTCGAAAATTGCGGCCAATAAGTTCAGAATTTCAGGAAAAATTCACCATTTAGGAATTACAAATTGTTTACAAATGAAAACAATCACAATCACAACGCACAATTTCATAACTCAATAATTCTCAAGGATTCACCAACCGTCCCTTCTCCCTTCTTTAGATCGGTACTGTACTTATGAATTATTCGCGTACGCATACATTTGTTGGCTATCTCGCAGCTTGAGGAACAAAAATTCGAAAATTTCAACCATCTTATTGTATAATTGAAATGCTACGCTATAGAGGTGGCTTTCCCATTTTTTGGTTGAGAAAATGAGCGAGTCCGCTCCAAACAACTGACGATTTTCAAGAAGGGAGCAATAACACTATTTTAACAAGTGCTATTCAAAAATGGGATAGTGGGGGGGGGGGAATTTGGTCTGGAGAACCCA